ATAGGCGAACTCATGAGCTCCTGCCGAGTTAGCTACTTTAAGAAGATCGGCGAATCGCCAGATATCCAAGTACTATCGCCGGTTGCCTTCGCACCCCTTTTTCCTAACTTCAGAAAGCTCGAAAAACCAGCCGTACTCCACGGCAGACGGAAAACAGACTAACTGGCAGCTTACTCGCAGAAGCTCCTCCCCCTCCGCCCGCGCTTTCCCACGGTAGAGAAGCTAAATTGGGCGCGGAGCGGAGAGAGAGCACTACACGAGGACGTCAGACAACATGTCTGCGCCCTCTTCGCGGATCGATACTGGCCTGGCCCCTGCCAGGCCAATATCGATCCGCTCACACGGATAGCACCAAACAAAAGGAGATACCGAAACACCCATTACAAAACAAGGCACAATACATGGCTAAACAGCATACAACTATTTTACACTCAACAATACAACTATTTTACACTCAACAATTTCTATATTTGGAGCGTGGGTGTATTGTGAATATTTACCACTATCAACCTGCAATCTTATCGTGTTACAGATATTCCAAAGAGCATGAACTCGAAATCGACTGAAAACACAGAGGATGGCCCTCCTAGAATCTCTTTTCTTTTTGTCATGTCTGAAGTGTACGAGCGGTAATGCCGAACACAAAAGATGAGAAAAGCGCACATAAGGTGCGAATAAGTGCAGACGTCAACAACTTTACTTTTAGCAAAATCTGCTACCGCAACAAACACCTTGCTCTATCTGTGGATGTTAAAACTTTGCAATCAAATAGTGTTGGATAGGGTGAAATACGCTCTAGTTAAACATATGCAAATTTTCGCGATTTGGTCTACTACGAAAAAAGTTACGGACGAAAAAGCGTCGAAGCATTTCACCGAAGACTTTTGAGCGCTACTGTATGTACATAAAGACGCACATTGAGCCTACAAGCACATAGGCACAAGAGCACAGACTTCATCAAACACAATGGCTTTAGAACTCATTTAAAGAACTTTTTAATGTGCATCTTCGAGCTGGGAGAGGGCTTCACCTATCGTAAGATAAACATTGTTTGAGTTAGGCACGCATGGCGATTCTTAGTGTCTGAGTTTCGACTTCTTCTCCTACTGTTCATCTTCGCCCTTTTTTTACTTAGTGCTGAACTGATCTGAAGTAAAAGTGAGGAATCTTCTCTGTGCGTTACTACTTGTACTATTCTTCCGCTCTCAGACAGCAATCCGCTTAGTTTAGAGTCGCTTTTTCGTTAGGTTAGATCTCTTTCTATCCAAGCTTGGCCAGCTGTATGAGTGTTCGCACCCAACTTTATGACAGGCCGCACTCCTATAATGCACAAAGAGCGCTCTTTATTTGTTGAAAGTTAAAACTTGTTTACAAAAGTGTAGATAAATTTTTTATATCTCTACAAACAATTCGAACCGAATCTTCCAGGTTTGACCTTCAACAGTTTAACGCCTGGTGGAAAAGAGCTGCTAGCTCAGGAAAGAGTTCGTCATCGTGCAGCATTGCTCGCTCACCTCAACACTAAGAAAGAAGTGCTTGACGAGAAGCTCAATTATATCATACAAATTGAACATATTATGGCAAACATAGAGGTGAGGTTCTTTTTTTTAGACCTAACCTACGTAAAGGAGTCCGAGGAAACTGCTGCCACGCTTTTTATCGAGCACAAAGTGAGGTTCCTCTGTCCTTGCTCGATAGTGGCAATGAAGAAGCCAAATGCAAGGCAGCTTCCTTCAATTGGATCAAATATCTCGATTATCCTCGGCATATTTTCGAACCACACGAGGTTTACAATATCTCAATGACTAACGTTTCGGTGAAACCACCGTCGGAGCCTGAAAGGATGGAATCAAATTTATGAAATTACCCGATCAAACACCCCAGCCCCACATAATATCGTTCATGCTAACAAATCTTTTCAAGTCCTAGATAACCACTAGATGTCAGTTAAGCAATTTCTAGATGCAATTGTGACTAGTAAGGATTGTTTTGCCCATTATCTCGAAAGGGAGCGGACACTCCAGGCATCTTCCCCTTTCGCTTCATAGTCGATAGAATGCAAACGACCTGTTCTTTGCACCTACATGAAATATTGCAAGTTTGCATATTCTGTGAATTATTGCCGCCAGCAAATTCAATTAGGAGCGTGAGAGAGGGGGTGGCTAGAGGCTCTATCATATCACGCTCGTCGGTGAATCCGAGTCTGTTCTGAGTCAGCCAGACTTTTACTTGGAAACAATCATCCGATATATGACCTGAAAGATAAGTCACTGGTTTGTAGTTGCAGTTTATGAATGTGAGAGGCCCACGGGTGGCACCTATGCTTGCGGTCTTTTTAAGGTAGTGGCTGTATGAGCTTTCAGAGCACGCTAATGTTTGGAGAGGAGGGTAGTGCATGGCGCATATCAAAGGCTGCTTTCATAATCCGCCGACGTGTGTGCCGCGCGTCGGCGTGCCGAGGGAGTGCTAGGGGGAGGAGGCAGGCAGACGGTCGGTCAGCCCCTTGGAAGGGCTGGAAACAATGAAGAAAAAGCAAACAACCAGGGGCTTGTGCAGATGGTTTTTGATCTTGTCTCTCTTTGTTTAAAGCCCTTCGAAGGGGCTGTCCGACCGTCTGCCTCCCTCCTCCCCCTTAGCACTGCCTCGGCACACCGGCACGCAGGCATGCACGCCGGCGGACTATGAGAGCGGCCAAATAGACATGCTTGACTGTCTTTGCTTTATGCAAGGTTGTGCAGGGGGTATTGTTCCTGCGTTTCATTGAAACACGGACATATTTTTTAAAACATCACACTGCAGAATTTGAACGTCCCTGCTCGTCTCCTTGGAGCAATAATGTCGTCCATTCTGGCTCAGATTCTACTTTGTCATCTTTACGAGTTTCTGGGAGGACACTCAGAAAGTGTAGCCTGCCACCAGAATTTGTGCTGCTGAAGAACAGGACGCGATCAACGAAAGGGCCTCGTCAATGGTTTCAGAAGTTCTGCGAAGGCAACTACATCCTCGAAGACCAACTATGCCCGCTGATCATAGCTTTCGATCTCATTGAAGAACTAATACAAGCAATCCGTACCCGTCAATTTGCTGCAGACGTGCAATATTACCAGAAGGTCATGAGCTTTTCCACTCAAGTTGAAGGGAAATTTGTGCAAGCTGCGAAGATGAATTTCACCCGAACTGTGTGAGGCTGTTCTGCGAATATGTGTTTGGCTCAAGATGATAGTTGCTGGAGTAAGTGGGAAGATGCAGATTAGTAGCTATTGCTGATTCCGAGAGGCCAACGTCACCTGATGGAAGTCGTATTCTGCGTGTTATGGAATTGAATGCTTGCATCTTTTAGGTGGGAACATCACCGTTGACGCATACAGCTACTGTTTATGTTGCTACTGACCCGCAGAACTGCAGCCTTCTATGGGTGAAGTTTTCCTGCTACACGGCATATTGACAGCAGGTCTAAGATTAACGAACTTGGCTTCGTAGTTCTGTCTCACCCACTATGTTATCCTCTTTCGCTTGCTCAATTCCTGAAGAACAAGAGCGCAAGCACATCAAAATGAGCCTTCAGTTATCCTTAACGTAGAAGAATGCAGATTTTTAACAAAACGGTATCCATATACTAGACAATCGATGGAGGACATTTGCTGGTTAATAAGTAATTGTGTAACTCCGAGTATATGCATTAGTACTGGAAATTACTTATTACTCAATCTAATAATTACTTGAGCAATGCTAATTTCAAAATGTTTGTCCAATTACTGTGAAAATTTCAGGCAGTTTCCAACTTTATGGACAAAGAAATTCAATTTCTCAGTGTGTTCGGAATCCTCGACATGAATCGTACTTTGATCAAAGATTGTCATGTGAATAAGTACAATTTCAATCTGATTCCGCAGGTCTCAAACTGAGAGGAATCAGCTGCTTCATAGCTATATCAGCGTGAGATATGCTCCAA